TATTAGCAAACATTAAATTAATTAGACTATTAATCTTCTTTAGTTACACTCAGTTTTCTTTATTTCTTATAATTAACGAATATATAAATAATCATTATATTTAGAAACTCACTTATATAAATGAAATTATGATTAATATGTATAAGTCTATTTACATAATARTTGAATATAATAATASTATATTTACTAAATGACCAAAAACACGAGTTTCAATCATTTTTTAGTACAACATAATAAGAAAGACAAGATTAACCGAGGTTATTCAAACAAGCATAAGACAACCAAAAGGTATTACCGTAGCAATTGGGGTTATGGATTTTCAGTTTATGAGGGGGGGGGGGGTAGTATGGGACTCGTAGTCGGGGAGAAAACTACCCATTTGATTGAATACGCGAAGTTGGGATCATAAAAGTTAGTCGAGAAATTGTGAAATTGGATTTTATCGACAGTGCAACTCTCGTACTTTGCCAATGTATAACTCACAAACTGTAAGTCGTGATAAGCTCGTATCTTGCAACAACTTTCATGAAGGGTCGAAAGTCAGTTATGACTCTAATTGGCTCGAAACAGTGTGTTTTCGAGGTTGTTTACATTGTATTTGGGATTAATTTTTTTTTTTGTAAAATTCGTATAAAATATATGGATAATCAAAATGAGGTGGGTAGATTCATATATCAAAGGTAATACTGATTCTTATTAATTTAATATATAAATGTGATCATTGATTCATTTAGCTAACTTCAATAATTTTAAAAAAATTATCGTCATCGCGCAACGCGCGATGTCAAACACTAGTTTTAATAGTAATAATAATGGAGTTGGTTTCCGATAAGAATAGTAGTTATCGTGAGAAAGATAAAAAGGGATTCACACCATTTGATCAATCATAATTGAAGATCAATTGAAGTACCCTTATAAACTTATTCATGTATTATTTTGAAACTTAATCTGAAACATTAGATCAATACTAATTAAAAATGATCAATGGTTCAGATTGTTTTTTACACTTTTTATATTTACTGCCACACTATCATTCATCGTAATAATGATAATTAAAATATAGTAATAAATCAACAAAATAAAACAATTTTTAATTGAAAAACACATAACCCGCTCCGTAAATACAAAGCGGTTCATGCTTTAGCTACCGCATCACTGAGAGTTTTTTTATTTGTAGGAATCATTATGTATATTACCGAAGAGTCATTGGCCTAGCAATAGCGAAAAATCCAATTATGTACCTCAGTCAAGAAAATCCCTGACATGGGGAGTCTGGAGCCCGGTCTAGGACAAGGTTTAAAGTCTGATCAGCATGACCTAAAAAATCCATAAAAAACGTAGGCCCAACCTTTAACATTCGGGCCTGAAAAAGCCCAATTAAGCCAGGCAGGTTGACATAGAAAAACCTAATTGGGCCTTTTTTCAACCCGAAAACCTGGCCTAGCCCTAGTCTTAGAAAACCGAACTTTTATTTGCTCACTTAAAACATGCTTCGAAGGCCCATTTCTAGGCCCAAAAAGTTTGGGCCTTATATGTCTCTACCCAATAGTATTTCCGTATTCAATAAATTATAACTTTCATAAAGATCGAGGTTCAAACTTCACCATAGTTGACCTAAGGAGTTTACATATACATGTGTTGTTATATATTGTAAAAAACAACTAGCATTTGAAATTCCAAAGCAACCGCAACATACATTATTTCCCGGTATAAACAATACCATCTTTCCGGTGAAGTATGTTGTCTCACGGGTTGAATTTTTTTAAAAACAGTCACTTTTCATCTTTTTTTTTTATAAACAGACGTTTCGGTCTCAAACTTAGATGGAGTTTGTTTTCTAAGAGGTGCAGAAGTCTGAAGCTTTTATTTCACTTTTGATTGATATGAGGTGGTGCTGAAGTTTGAAATCTCAATCAATAAGCCATTTAGTTTTTGTGAACTGACAAATGTTTGAATTTGTTTAAATTGTCTATCTTACCAATTAGACAATTATAATATTAAAATACATCAAACCTATTTTTTTCAAAAGCCCGACCCAACAACCCCCAAAGAAAAAGCATAGCTTGAAAAAGCCCACTCAAACCTATTTCACACGCAAAGCTGACTGGCCCGACAATTTGAAGAACCTTTGATTTTTTTTTGCTTACTAAAAATGGGCCTCGAAGGCTTGGGGTTCATACACACAAAAACACAGTATATATAAGATTTTGGACCAGATACAAGAAACTGAACAACACAAACCCGTAGTTTTCAAATACGTACTCATAACAACCACCACACAGGAAACCGGACACACTTCTATAGTTCTGGGTTCTTCACACCAACACCCATACTCGATGTACTAACCAACTTAAGCTTCGAACGACTAATAAAACTAGAAACCGTGTCGTTAAAACTATCGCACATAGAGACAGTCGTTTCACCTTCATCATCTGAAGGACATCTCATCTTCATCTTCATACCATCGATATAACTACTATACTTTTCCTCACTAAAAGTCATCTGACCACAATCTCTCTCGTTATTTGAAGAAAAACGCACCAAGTGTTTAAACGGTTTTACGTCAAGAGTTGTGGGAGGGAGCGGAGAAGAGGAAACGCGTTTTTGTGGTGTCGGGTAATCGAAATTCGATGACGAAGGATTTGGAAGATCGTTTTTCTTTGGCAAACGACGACACCTACCAAAAGTGGCCCGGAATATCTTTTCACAGTAACTCGTAGCACGAGGTTTATTTGATCGATCTTTCGCCATTGGGTTCGATCGAGAACTAGTATGAAAGATAGTGAAAGAACTTATGGCTTATTTAAAGAGCTTAATCGGAGTATTTTAACTTGCTAATTGAACACGAGGAAATATGTTATGACTTTTTTTGGGGGGAAGATTCCTGCCTAATCCTTTGACATTTTTCTAAGAGTAAATTACAATTTTAGTCCTTATGGTTTCTACTCATTATCAACTTTGGTCCCTTTTTAAAATTAAGTATAGTTTTGGTCACCGTGATTATCATTTTATTTCACGTTTGGTTCTTCTAAAAAAGATTGTTAACTATAGAGTATTTTGGTCTTTTTACCTTTTATTTTTGTCTTTTTGTTTTTATTAAATTATAATGTAAATTACGATTTTAGTCCGCGGGGTTTGTCTTTTTTTTTTTTTATATACAATGAAAAATATATGAAAGACAGAAAAGGAAAAAAATACAAACCACAAGGACCAAAACCGTAATTTACTTTACTATTTAATAAAACAAAAAAGACAAAAAAAAAAAAGGTTAAAGGATTAAAATAGTATTAAAATAACCGACATTTTTAGCTAGAGTTAGTCAGATGTATTAAAAGCAAAACAAAATGATAACCACAATGATGAAAACTGTAATAAGTTTTAAAAATGTACCTAGTTTGATAATAAATAACAACTATAAGGATCAAAAATGTAATTTACTTATTTTTCTAACGAAAGAAAATTCTACTCACACTTGTAGATGCTTAATTCGGAAAGCTATTTTCTCATGTGTTTAAATCGGTTCCACCTTTATGGTGTATTTTCCTTAATTTAAGCCAAAAAAAAGGACCCATCATTAGGTAGAATGAGATTCCATGTGGTCAAATAATGTAAAATAAATGAATTCGAAGTAACCCGATATCTAATTGAGTTGTAAAAATTTTAAATCGTAGGTATCGGGTTGATATTGTGTTACTATTATTTGAACCCAACCCAACCTGATGAACCCGATATCTTTTTATTTCTTGAATTTTTAATATGATTTTTGAATTTCTATTAATATATACATTAGACAATTTATCATGTATGCTCTTCATATACACATATAATTTCAATCTATTTACATCTCTATATAATTCATTCGTATATATGTTCAGTAACTGTGAACGTATATATGTAAATTGAGAAAATTAACTGAATGTGATATACGTAAGAAATATGGATAAGTTGTATCAAATGGTTGATGATGAAAAAGAAATTATGAGTAGTGAAATAACATAATCAAGGTTAGAAGAATATTTTAATGTACCAAAGTATTAACCCGACCAACCCGTACGGTTTGGATTGGGTTGGGTTGCATCACATGATTTGCCATCTCTAGCCTCGACTATAAAAGAAACGATCCAAATCGATAATAACTCGAAACTAACTCGATCAAAACTCGGAATCGATAATGCAAAACCCTAGAAGTCGAATAATTTTATATAAAGAATGATCGGTTTGAAGTCCCAATGATCGGTTATTGTACATATTCTTTGGTTGGTACATACGTAACTTTTCTTTCACGGTCATCGATCAAACGATTACAGAAACCGCATCGAGTAACGTCTATGAAAAGCATCAAACAATTTTGCAAAGAACACGAAGAAACCGCATCATGGTTCGAATGTACAATCCTTAAACAGCCAATATACCCGACCGTTCATCAGGACTACCTTCTCGAGTGCCAACTTGACTCCCTTTTCGTGAACTCCGTCTTGTAGCAACTACCGGATAATCATCGTCATCATAAACATCCATCGATGTATCGATCTCTCCGTCTTTGAAAACCGGATGTATATAAGCATCTTGGAGATACGATTTCAAGTCCAAATGCGGTTCTGTCGCCCTTTCCAGCGTATCCTTGATCATTGCATCCTGCAATCGAGATTAGTAATGCAATTGTCGTAAACATAAAGGGCAGGTTCGTCTTTTCACACGGGTATCGTTAAAAATTTCTAACCTGTAACGGGAACTTCCGGAATGCAGATTCAAACCGGTTCTTGCAGAACCGGTGGAACCAGAAGGTTAAGACGGGAAGCACCAGAAGGAACGGTGTCGAGTTTGTAGCGTTTTTCGTGCTCAGCAATCCTAACAACGTAAACTGTGAAATTGTCAAACCGATAAGGATACGCCGATTAACATCGGGCCAAAACGATGCCGCACTCTCGTACTTCTGGTGGTACACGTTGATGATCTGATGCCATGAAATAAATGCAAGAAATCAAATGTTAATTGCAATTCAATTCCGTTCACTACAACAAAATCGACTTTACAGATTGCTAAATGTTGTCTAAATGTCCTAATAGACTGCTTTTATAATTATAGTACTAAATAATCGTGCGTCTTATGTAAAGATGTTACAATAAGCTGATAGAACGTTTTTTTGGCATTGTAACAAGTTTTCTAGTACAATATTGAAATAAAGCATAATATTAGTCTTTTTTTATATCACATTATAAATTACAATTTTCGTCCCCTTGGTTTGTTAATATTTCAATACCCATCCCTGTGTTTTAGAAATTGTGATTTCTGTCTCTTGACTAATTCCGACCTTTAAGTACACAGGGACCCCAAAAAAAAAATCATAAGAACAAAAATAGCAATGGATTACAAACAATAGGGACAAAAACCGCAATTTCTAAACCACAGGGACGAAAAATGTAATTTACTCTTTTAAAAAATGTCTAAAAGGCTTGTTAACATCCTAATGTAACACTTTTATATAGGATGTACAATTGTTTGGTCCTATAAAAACAGTCTATTAAGACATTTAAACATTTTTGACGTTCTGATAAAACCAATATTGTAGTGATTGTGGCTGCGTTTGGTACATGAGACGGGACAGGACAGGACGGGGCAAAACTTATTGTCCCATGTTTGGTGCAGCATGGGACAGAACAAGAACTCACTGTCCCACGTTTGGCGCGACATGGGACAAGGACAAAAACTGGGACAAGGTGGGACAACATGGGGAAAAAGAGGTTTTTTCTTGTTCCACCAAAATAGGTGGAACAAGATGGAACAGAAACTAAAATATTACTAATATACCCTAGTTTGATATATAACCTTAATATGATATTTGTTTTAATGGTCATCACCGCTAGTTTCGGCTGCGGCCACCACTATCGGCGGTCACCGGCGGCCACCTCCACCTCCTCTTCCACTACAACAACATCCTCCACCGCCTCCACAACCACTGTCCACCAAATCCATTGCCACCTCTACCATAGTCAACCACCGACCACCACCGTCCATTGCCACCACCACTACCGCCGTTCACCACCATCAACTCATCCTCTACTGCAAACAACCTCCTCTACGACCTCCACGGCCACCACCATTCATTGCCACCTCACCTCCACCATAACCACCACCACCATCTTCATTAAATCAACCACAACTACCTCCTCCACCGTTGTCAACCACCACCACCAGAATCTACCATCTTCATGTCCTCTATAAACCACCGTCGTCCACCAAGCACCAAATGCTTCTACCTCCATAACCACTGTTGGCCACCGACCACCACTGCCCGTTGCCACTAATACCGTCAGCGACCATCACCTCCACCATAACTAAAACCACCTCCACCAACACACTACTACCATCAATTATATCAATTTTTTCATTCAAATTTGGTACAAATATAAAAATTATGTACAAATATTTATAAATTAAATTCTTTAATTATTTACTTTATCCGTGTTAATTATAACTATTATATAATATTTAAAATCATCAAATAACTTTTCGAGGTAGCTTCTCTAGTTCTGTCCCGTCCAGTCCTGGTCATACCAAACACCAGACATACTCCTGTTATGTCCAGTCCAGTCCTACCCTCTTGTCCTGTCCTGTCCAATTATGTCTGCGTACCAAACGCTACCTAAGTTCAAACAGCATAAACCATGTTACCTGATGACGGAAAACCAGGTACGAAAAGGCAAAGAAGACGATGATGAACGGGAGAAGTATCGGGGTGACGGTAGAGTACACGAGTCCAAGCAAGAAGTACAACTGCATACGAGGCTCCGTTACGGGCCAAAGCAGCGAACCGGGATCCATGGCCTCCTCTCTATCCTTTTCGGTTTTCACCAAGAAAATGTTCTTCAAGTGATACATAACCAACGGAACCAGTCTCAAGATCTCCGCAGCGATACCCGCCCAACCATCGACCATTATGTACGTGATGAAGAACGTTGCTTTCATAGGAATCGACACACCGACGGTTTTAGGAATCCTGGATCAAGTAGCGAAACGATTTCAATATATGGTTTTGATAATGTAGGGACAGGTTCAAATCAGAACCATAAATGTTTTGAGAACCTAGGAACCAACTATTCAATATGCATTTTCATTATTCATTACATTCTTCGTGAATATCTCATTACAACAAAACCGATTATAGGATGCCTAAAATGTAGAAGCATCCTAATACTTTATAGGACTTAAGTTTATAGTACCAAAAAGCGTGATATCTAAAATTGTTACAATAGGTTTATAAGATGCTTTTCGGCGTTTTAACAAGTTTTTACGACGCTTTTAAAATAAAGTGTTGTATCAACTATTTCATAAAAACACTATTCGAAAAAGTGTCCTATAAAAATAGCTTATAGAACACTTTATTTTAAAAGTGTCGTATAAAATAGCTAATCGGACAATTTATTTTAAAAGTGTCCTAAAAAACTTGCTAAATCGCCAAAAAGCGTCCCATAAGCCTATTGTAATGTTTTTAGATAGGACGCTTTATATTTTGGTCCTATAAACCTAAGTTCTACAAAGTATAGATAATATTCATTATAAATAGTTGGTTCTCAAGTTCTCAAATTATTTACGGTTCTCGTTTGAGCCTACACCCATGGGACGAAAAGGGTGACAACATACTCAGATGGTGACTGATTCAAGAACTCTTTAAGTTGCTCAAGAGCGGTTCCGGCTATAATGCTTCCGAAAAACACGTTCACGAGCAAAAAAAGATGAAATTTTCCCGCGGATCTTGCTTCCAAAGCCGAGAGTGCCGTGAAGCCTTCGATTTTCGACATTGCCATTAGAATCATCGGGAGAATGATGAGGAAGAGCTTCAACACGATCCCAGGAAGAAACCCTTGAATGACGGATTTGATAGATCTCCTGTGACAAATGGGAAAAAAAAACTCGATCAAGAAAATCCAAGATTCACAAAAAAGATACGGTTTTTGTAAAGATGGTTTCGATCTATGAAGGTTTTGCTTACTTATTGATAAGGGGTTTCAAAAAGGGAACAACTTTCTCGATTGATTCAATGTTGGCCAGGGTTTGAACAAGTGCGATCGGGACTATGAAACAGAAAGTAAGACCGAAAAGAGCACCAGCCATGAGCAATCTTCGCACGTTGAGTTCCACGAACGGTATGGCTAAGTTGTCCCAATAAACGTCCCGTGGTTCTGGAGCCCAATCCGTGAGCCAACGAGTCGGGTTCCGTGTTTGTTGTGTTTGAGCACAAACGGCTGCACCCCACCGTGATCTGAATGAAACAAACGCAGCTGGGACTACAGCTTTTGGGTCACCGATTACCCTTTCTCGTTCTTCGACTTCCTAGTTACCAAATCGTTCTACGTTAAACATTATTTATAGACGGAAAAAATCAAGAAATCTTGATGATGAACACTTACTTCTGTGCTCAACTTATCGATTTCATCGGTATAGTACTTAATTGCATCGATCTTCTTTCCCCAAAGACCCCAAAAACCTGTCTATACAAATAACTAAACATGAAATTACAAACTTCGAAAATTACAAACAAACCAAAGAACCGAGAACTAGATGAAACAAGACGATTTCTAGCCACAAACCTTCGTGGTTGGCCTTTTATCGGGGTTTCTCTCGTGCTTATTGGTGTAGTAGATCAGCCGATTATGCAAATGCTTCTTCTGAGCCACCATTTTCGCTAGCTTATTTGCATTATACACCACCTAGGATTCAAGAAATAGATATTTAAGTTGAATCTAGAAAGTGATTCATGATAAAAGTTTCGGAATTGCGTAGAATCGGTGGATCTGTAATCCGAGATCATCGAGAAGGATGCAAACCTGATGTGAAAGATATTGATCAGGGTGATTGACACGAAAGAAATGGTCAACATGGTCACTAACGGATTCATCAGGATCTGGGGGGACGTTTCTCACGAGAACCTACACAAGGAATAGAAACAATCAAAGCCCCATCTTTTTCTAAAAGAAAAATAATCAAAACCCACGTACTCTTTTTCCAGAATGTTAGAGTCCCGTATCGGCTAGAGTCTGACCAAATCTCCTCAATATATATATATATATATAGAGAGAGAGAGAGAGAGAGAGAGAGAGAGAGAGAGAGAGGGGAAAACCCCAAAAAATGAAAAACTAAAGAACACCCTAATAATTGTTCATTTGTACAGTATGCACATGTGCATACAAGTAATTGAAGATGTTTTGTGGTTTCTATGCACGTGTGCATGTTATGCCCATGTGCATACTGAAAAAATTACTTACAAATTACTTGCACCTTGGTAACCGTTCATCTGGACGGTATGCACATGTGCATACAAGTAATTGAAGTTGTTTATTGGTTTTTATGCACATGTGCATGTTATGCACAAGTGCATACCAGACAAATTGCTTACAAATTACTTGTATTCACCGTCGAAATGAACGCTTACCAGGATGTTTCTCAGTTTTTGATTTTTTTGCGGTTTTCCCCAAAACCTGAACCTATATGTGTGTGTTGGAACCTCCATTCTCTCTTAAAGGGCTCTTCTGGAGAGTAATCTAATGGGGTTCCACATATTCACACTCTAGTGCAATCTGTACCTATCTAGCCCCCTCTCGACACTTTTTTTACAATCTTTGCCCATCTAGCCTCCATTGGAGGGGGTGTGTTAGAATCCCACATAAACTAGACTTGCACCATTTCTCCTAACACATATGTTGGAACCTCCGGTCTCACCTCAAGGCTCTTTATATGAGTAATCTAATGGGGTTCCACATATTCACATATAAGTATCAGAGCCGAAGGTCTATCACTCTAAGGACTTGACACTCTTGGGAAATCTATACCCATCTAGCCCCCTCTCAACACTTCGGGACAATCTTTGCCTGTCTAACTCTGTTAGAGGGGCCGTGTTAAGAGTCCCACTTCGACTACATATGTTGGAACATCTATTCTCTCCTCTAAGGGATCTTTTGGAGAGTACTCTAATTATGTTCCACATATTCTGTAACATCTCAGGCCAACTCTACCAGATATTATCCGCTTTGTCCACACCTGGACTCACGGTTTTAAAACGCGTTTGATACCTTATGAGGCAACTTTCGTTCCCCTTCCCAACCAATGTGAGATCTTACATATTCTCACACAGAAAATGTGTACCAAAACATGAAACTCACCGTAAATTGATCCGGACGACGGTTTTCAGAAGCAAGGAAATGCAACCTCATGTCAGTTACAATTTTGTATTCCTTATAAAGAACGTAGCATGTCCAAAATGTGAAGACATACGCCATTGCTATATGTGCAATTAACCTGATTAAAAAAAACGTTTCAAATGATCAAATGCATAGAGTTGAGTAGTTTGGTTTGACGATTCTTAAACGAAAAACTTCCAGACCTTTTTGATGCAGCCGGGACATTGGATATCGAAAACTTGTCGATCTCACCAAATGTTATATCTTTCATATTAAGGCTCACTATCTTGAAATTTTCGCCAGTATAATTGACGGGTAACAACACAGCAAAAGCAAGTAGAGCAATAGGAACAAATATCTTCAAGCTGCGTATAATTATCGACATTAAATAGGTGAAAACTAGCAACGAAACAATCAGTTTAAAGGGGTTTTCTAGTTAAATGACCTTTCTGACCTTCTGACCGGTTAAAATATGCAGCTGCTTTTAACAGTATAATGGCTAGGAGGGAGGTTCAGAGAAAACCCCAAAAAATTGAAAAACTAAGGAACACCCTGGTAATTATTCATTTGGACGGTATGCACATGCAAACAAGTAATTGAAGTTGTTTCTTGGTTTTTTATGCACGTATGCATGTTATGCCAGGGACAGACCCGGCATGGTGCCACCGTATTATTTCTCTGTCGAAAGTTAAAAAAAATTAGGTTCGTGAAAAGTGCAACCATATTAAATTGTTGTGTGACACCATATGTATTTTGAAACTACATTTTCTTTGGTAGAGCTGGTTTGCAAGGCTCTTCTTCCACCCCAGACCCAAGTTTGAATCTTGTTAGTGTCATTTTCTTGGTCAAATGGTGCCACCTTTTGAAATTTTTTCCCTATATTTGTTTCTTATAGTCAAATGGTGCCACCGTTTGAAATTTTTTTTGGGTCCGTCTCTGTGTTATGCACATGTGCATATCGTCCAGATGAAAGATTACCAAGGTGTTCCTCTGTTTTTTTTTGTGGTTTTCCCCAGAACCTGACCCTAACGGCTAGAAACCTGTCAAAAGGTCATGGATTTAAAAAGCACTTGTCGGGAGGTCGTTTAATTGAATAACCCTCGAGAAAAACACTCACCCAAGAAGATAGATTCGAATGTAGACAGCAGAATCAAGGCCAGCATGATCTATAAGCTCAGGTTCTGGCATTCGTAAAGCAGCAGGCACCCAATTCAAGAATCTTAGATACATTCTGAAATCTAGATTAACGAACTTCTTTACAAAAGGTCCCGAAGTGCTTGGAGTTTCTCGTATGCCTTTGAGATACCATTTTGGGAAGTAAACTCGATCGTTGATGGGTTGAAGACGCAAGATTGCAAATGCCACAAGAAATATTAATGCGGATAGACTGTTAATGGCGGCAGACACAGTGATATCCGAAACCGTAGCCATTTACTTTCTTGAAGATAAAACGCTACCTACAATTCAAGTGGTAAGGCGTTTAGATCAGCATGGAAGAGATCTACATGCAATTTTATAGCAAAATGACCATTATACTTGCTTCTCATTTTCATTAAGAACAAGGGACCGCCCATAGCGCGACACGAGGCATATTCATTAGAAATATGGGCGTGTTATTCATACATGATGAATGTGTGATTCATGATGAATAACAAGCCCATATTCATCATGAATGTCTTATTCACAATGAATATTCATCCTGAAGAAGGGCACATGGCGCGCTGTGGGTGGTTCCCACGGAAAACATGATCTCAACTGAACTTTCCTCTACTTGCTAAAATGCTAAAAAGAACCTTAAAGTACGACAAAGTGAGATTTTGAAACCATCGCAATTCTAGAATCTTTGCAAACAAACCATCGTATTTCTAGTTATCTTTGTACTCACTTGGATTGTGTAAAAAGTCACAAACACCAAAAAATCTTGGCTTTTGTTCAATGGTAGGTAAAGATTCACAACTAATTAGGGAACCAATCTCAAAAGTCAAACTCCATTTCATGGAAAATGAGTGATTTGCTCTTGGAATCATCGTACTTGCCTTTTTGTTGCAAAACAAGTCATTGTTTTTTTCATAAGAAATGCAACAAAAACACCGGCACAAGAACAATATTCTTCTTTTTGGCATGGTCTAACAAACCCACAAATTGTTCACAAGAAAATAGTGAATTTGGAGAAAAAAGGCCCGAAAACTATGGTTTTTTAACATTTTCACAAGAAACACAGTTAGTTTAGAACGAAAACCAAAAAGTCAATCACTTTTGTCTAAAATTGAAGCATGGTCAAGTAAACCCGCAATTTGGACAACAAACACCATGCAAATATCATATTCTTGTTTCCTTAAAACCATATCAAGAGTCCAAAATGGTTTCTTTAATTTCTCTTTTCTAAAAGTGGGAAATCGAAGCAACGGATTTAGAAACACCAAAAACTCCATAATCTCAAAAGATAAGAACATACCCAAATGGCCAAATATCATATTCTTGTTTCTTGAAACCATATCAAGAGTCCCAAAATGGTTTCTTTAATTCTTTTTTTCTAAAAGTGGGAAACCGAAGAAACGGATTTAGAAAACCAACTGCATTTAGACCATACCCAAATATCATATTCTTGTTTCCTGAAACCATATCAAGAATCCCAAAATGGTTTCTTTAATTTCTTTTTTCTAAAAGTGGGAAACCGAAGAAACAGATCAAGAAACACCAAAAACAGAAACCAATTGCATAATCTCATAAGATTACAACATATGATACACTCCAAAAAAGACCTACAATCATATATATATATATATATATATATATGGCTTGGTTTGCATTTTATCCCTCCCCTGTGTATATATATATATACACACACATATATAACATCCCTCAAGACTCATAAAAAATCCCATTTTTATTGGTTTTTTGAACAAGAGTTTATTGGGTTTCCAAGACTCACAATCTTGAATTACAATCCCTAACCACAGTTCATGTTCTTGTCTCTTAAAAACTAAACCCAACATATTCATTAATGAATCATCAATTCCATTCAAGTGGGAAATCTAAGAAACACAGAAAAAAACAGAAACAAAATAGAAATCAACTGCATAACCTCAAAACATTAGACCATAATCACCTTCTAAATCACAAGAAAACACATTATATACCTCAAAACTAAAAAAAAAAAACCCTTTTTATTGGTTTCTTGAACAAGATTTTATTGGGTTTCCAAGAATCACAATCTTGAATTCCAATCCCTAACCAAAGCTCATATTCTTGTCTCTTAAAACTAAACCCAACATATTCATTAATGAATACTCAATTCCATTCAAGTGGGAAATCTAATAAACACATAAATAAACAGAGAACAAATAGAAATCAACTCCATAACCTCAAAACATTAGACCATAATCACCTATTGAATCACAAGAAAACCCTCAAAAACACACACAATAATACTCCCAAAAATCCCTAAATATTTCTCCTACATTCCTCAAAAACCCAAAATAAATCAAGGGTTTATTAGTACCTTAAACAAACAACACTTATTTGGGTTCCAACGAATCAAAAATCTTGAAATACAAAAAAAAAAGATCAAGACTTCGTTACTTTACCTTTTCCTTCAGCAATAATTTAGATGCATGCAACAAACAAAAGGGTTCATTGGGTGTAGATTTGTTTCAGGTCAGGGCGGCGGGCGGCGGACGGCGGAGGAAAGGCGGCAACCACCGGCAAGAACGAGGGAAAACAACGAGTTTGCCACTAACAGATGTTTAGAGCATAACCGTTGTGTAAGAAGAATACGTACATTTTTTAAAATTCCCTTTGCTCCATTTTCTATGTATATTTAGCAGAAGTGGTAACCAGAACAAGAAAGTACCGATTTAACACGGATCTTTATTTATTGTTTTTACGTGTTAATTAATCATAAAATTAATCATTTAAATATTGAATCTTGATAAATAATTAACGTTAAAAATAATGATTCAACCGAAATTAAAATAAATAAATAAATAAATAATCTTTAAATTTAATCTATGCTCCCTTTTGCTAAGTTTAACGTCATGTAGAAAATCAATTAATCTGTTAATTAAAAAATTTATATCTTCTTTCTAAAAGGTCAGATGTTCAAACCTACTAATGGTGAAGAGGAGGTGTGAGTTTATTTGTTGCATTTGTCGTATATAAAATATATTATATACTTCAAAGAAAAACATATCTTTCCTTTGAAAATATGTGTATTTATAGCGTATATTTTTTTTTATTAAGATTTAAGGGTTTTATTAGATTTTAAAAGCGAACGATGCAGCTTTTTATCCTTACTTAGATTCTTGAAACTGTCGTTCACGACAATAGTTATTCAGTATTTTCGTAACGAAACTATTATAAACTAGTGAATGCCGAAAAATTGCCAAGACGTGTAAATCTCGTGTTCGTTTAGGTATGTACTAATTAAAACCATGTTTTTATAATAATAATTGTAATACGACGTGTAAAGTACAACTTTAGTCTCTAAGATTTAGTGAAATCTTTAAAAATAGGACTTAAATTTTAATAAGTTGACTTTTCATCCTCAGGGTATGCATTTTGCTCTGAAAACGAGACCTGGCTAGTAACTCCGTCTAATTCATTGTTTAGAATCAAGGGTAAAATCGTCCAACTATATATTAAGCCTCACTTTCAAATACATTAAACCTCAGGGACCAAGTCCATATTTTACTCTCATTATTAAATGAATAAATAAGTATATAGAATATATATATATATATAGGGGCTTAACTGTTTAATTATTTAAGAACTCTATATATTGTGATAAGCGTGAGAACTATTACCTCAAAGTATTATTTCACACAGGGACGTTCCAATCTTTTTGGAGGTCCTACTACATTCAAAACTTTTGATTACATTGCATATATGAGATAACAAAAAATATATGTTAAGAACAAAAATGGGTTAAACCTAAAACGATTAACAATCTAAAACTAAACCTCATAATGATTTGAACCTAAAACCAAACTATTAATGGTTTGAACCTAAATAATTTCGCTTATAGTTTTACACAGGTCGATAAAAAGACCATAAACACGTGTAAATTTGGGCCCCAAAATTTCGGAGGTCCTGTTCAAAATATCACATTTAACATGCTAAGGAACGACCATGATTTCACATGATTTTTTTCTCATTTAAAACATATGTTTGTTTCACAAAGTGTTTGTTTCATATGTATACAGTTCACATTAATAAACTTTTTTATATGAACTTTTTTACATGTAACTTTTATTTCACAAAAAGGCTAAAAATGTTCATATTACAAAACAAATACATGTAAAACAAATATATGTTCATCAATATTCTAAATCATAAACTTAGATGATAAAATATCATATGATGCACCAGTTCTCAAAGTTATCACAATTTCATTATTAACTCTAATAATTTATATAATTGATTATTTTTAACCTTAAAATAAAAACAAGTCATACATATTTAAGAGTAAACTACAATTTCAGACCTTGATATTTAGTAAAATTTTCGAAAACAAGACATTAAACATGATTTAACAGAGAAATTAGACGTTATTAACAGTCATGTCTCACTTTCAGAACAAAATACAAACCTAAAGGATGAAAACTGAACTTATCAAAACTTATGTCCCACATTTAAACATTTCACTAAAACTAAAGGACTAAAACTGTAATTGACTCTATTATTTATAACGTTGTTGTATGATGCTCCCATGTGTCGCATTATGCGGGAAAATGCGTGTGAAGCTTTGTTTGAGGAAGTCAACCTCGTAGTTGGCACCTGGCCAATGCCAACGGCAACTTTTAGGGGATGACCCTTTCTTATTTTTTATCATTATTTTATTTAAATTTAAAATCCTAAAAAAATAAAAAAAAGAATTTTATTAAAATTATACAGAAATTACATTTTATAAGATCGTCTAAGCAAGTCGGGTCAAGCCAAGCACGTCGGGTGCCTTATGTCAACACGACACTCTCAAGAACGTCTAGGCAAGTCGGGTCAAGCCGAGCACGTCCAATAAAAAAATTTCTCAAAATAATTATGTCATATCCAGTCACTAGCCCTGCTTACGACATCCGGAATGGTTGGACGTAAAGCGTCTGTAGGTGGCTTTTTAAGTCCGCCCCATATCGCCACACAGAGGACATGGGGATGTAAAAAAAAGGGATCCTATCAGCAGACAATATTTAAGTACCTAAAAAGACCAGTTATATCAGAGTCATTATGTATATAAAAATTTAATATGTTTTAATTTCATTTGTTAGACAGAAATAAAACGTATGATTCGTCTTTAAAATACGTGTAACAACTGTAATGTTTTAAAATTAGAATTTAGTATTGATGGATGATAACAAGAAAATTGGCATGATGTAAGTCATAGAATCTAACAATGCAATGCTTTAATATAATAATGTATGTATGTATGTATGTATGTATGTATGTATGTATGTATGTATGTATGTATGTATGATATGTTGTATTAGAGACGGTAAAAAATCGGTTTTGGTCCTATCGATGTTATAATACGAATTTATATGGTTTTGAGCAAATATAAAAAAGTTCATTTTTTGTGTAATTTCTTTAATTCAATTTTTCAGTGTAATTTAATTTAGATTTAATGACGAAGTAATATATTTTTGTTTTAATAACATATTTTTTATAAAGATAATAACTAAGTATTCTGTTAGAACTCAAAAATTATCTTAATTATATTTTAGATTTTATATTTAAAATAAGAATTTTATCTTGTATTTGATTATATTTATCAACAGTCGCTTATACGAATTGAAACATGGAGTTTAATAAGTTGTACTTATGCACAAATTTACTTATAATCTTGAATTTTAAGTAATATACATCAATAAGCAGTATTTCATATATAAAAGATGGTTTTTAAAAGTTTTTGCAAGTGCTTTATAATATAGTATAGATAAAAACTTAAAAAAATTGAAAAATAGGTCATATATAGTCCCAAACTGGATCTTGAAATTCCATGAAATTTATATCCAGTCCCGACCGTCGAGTCATAATGAGTCCCGTGAATCTTGTGATGAACGGGTATTTCGACCCAACAATATACACGATTACCCAAACCGACGCAATCCAATCCGTAACTCATTCGAAGCACGGAAATTTAAATCGCAACTTATTGATTGATATAAACAATGTACATATTCTTTGGCCATTACTTTCCTTTCATGGTCATCGACGAAATGATTCTCGAAACCAAAATCATCGTCGTGATTCAAATATATGATCTTTAAACGATTGAAATACTCGTCAAATCAACTGAAGGACTCCCTTGATCAGTTCCGATTTGACTCCCATTACGCGAACTCCGCTTTGTAGCAACTAATGGGTACTCGTAATCTTCAAAATCATCAAAAACCGCTACGTCTTTGAAAACTGGATGTATATAAGCATCCCGAAGATATACTTTCACATTCAGATGCGGTTCTGTCGCCTTTTCGAGCGTATCCTTGATCATTGCATCCTGTAATTCACATCAACATCAATATTAATGTTACTGTAAGAATATGTGAAACCCCATCAGATTACTCTCTAAAAGAGCCCTTGAGAAGAAAACAAATGTTCCAATATATATATATATATATATATATATATATATAGAGAGAGAGAGAGAGAGAGAGAGAGAGGGGTGAAATGGTCCAAGTCTAACTATTATGGGACTGACTGTTTGTTAGCAGCTTAATGGACTCACAACTTTTTCTGTCAGCTATACATAATTGTTTGGTAGTTGCTTAATGATATAGAAAGTGACTTATTCAGTAAGCTTTTAGAGGGTAGCTTTATGCAGAAAGCCAAGTTTTTTTTTTTTTCCAAACCTGCCTCTTCCAATTAAAGGAGTAGCTCCTTCCATCTATGAAAAAACTCTCCAAACAAAAACCTTCCTAATTTATATAAATAGATTAATCCACACAGACGACTTTATCCATATAGAACTTAATGGAAAACCAACCAAGCAGCCAATAAGAGCATCTCCAATAGATTCTTCTCCAAAACAGATGATCTCCATTTTGGAGAATCTTTTGGAAATGCTCTAACACGCCCCCTCCAACAGACGCTAGACGTATCCAGATCTCTCGGAGTGTCAGGTTCCTAAATTGTTAGACATTTGCTCTGATACCATGTAAGAATTTACATGTGGAACCCCATTAAATTACTCTTCAAAAGAGCCCTCATAATCGTAGGGTGGTCTTATTTTTCGAGATGGGTATCGTTAAAGATTTCTAACCTGTAACGGGAATCTTCGAAATGCAGATTCGAACCGGTTCTTGCAATACCGATGGAACAAGAACGTTAATACAGGCAACACGAGAAGAAAAGGTGTCGAGTGTACTGCATCTTTCGTGCTCAGAATTCCCACCAGCAGAAACTGCGAAATAATCAAACTAATAACTATACGCCGATTAACATCCGGCCAAAACGATGCCGCACTCTCGTACTGCTGGTTGTACACGTTGATGATCTAATGCAAAAAATTAAATGTCAGTCGCAATTCAACTCATCGTGTTTTCATACCCTACAAATAAATCGGCTTTATAGGACGCCAAAATATGACTATAATAAACTGTTTTATTCGGTAAGCTTTCAAGGGGGAGCTTTATGCAGAAAGCCAAGTTTTTTCCAAACCTGTCCATCCTAATCAAAGAACACGCTCCCCTTATCTATGAAAAAATCCTCCAGACAGATTAATCCACACATCAACTTTATCCATACAGGACTTGATGAAAAACCAACCAAACAGCTAGACATATTTGGCGTCCTATAAAGCCGATTTCATTGTAGTGAAGAAGAAATCATGTTACCTGATGACGGTAAACCAAATATGAGAAGGCAAAGAAGACGATGATGAACGGGAGAAATATCGGGGTGACAGTAGCGTACACAAGTCCAAGCAAGAAATACAATTGCATACGAGGCTCAGTTACGGGCCAAGCCAACGAACCAGGATTCATTGCCTCCTCTCGGTCCTTTTCGGTTTTCACCAAGAAAATGTTCTTCAAGTGAAAGATAATCAACGGAATCAGTCTCAGAATCTCTGCCGCAATTCCAGCCCAACCGTCAACCATAATGTACGTCATAAAGAACGTTGCTTTCATCGGAATCGAAACACCGATAATTCTCGGTATACTGCATCAAGAATCAAGAATTGAAGACACGGTCAAAATCGGGTTTGACTACATAAAAGGGATTTGAAATTTGAAAAGAATAACAACATACTCGGCTGGTTTCTGATTCAAGAACTCTTCAAGCTGCTGAAGAACGGTTCCGGCTACTATGCTTCCGAAAAACACGTTCACGATCAAGAAAAGATGAAACTTTGCAGCGGATCTCGCTTCCAAAGTCGAGATTGCAACGAATCCCTCGATTTTAGACATTGCCATTACGATCATCGGAAGGATGAGGATGAAGATCTTCAAAACGATCCCGGGAAGAAACCCTTGAATGACGGATTTGATAGGTCCTCTGTGACAAATGGGAAAAAAACTCGATCAAGAATTCAAGATTCGCAAAAAAGATTCGATTTTGGTAAAGATGGTTTCGATCTATGAAGCTTTGGCTTACTTATTGATAAGGGGTTTCAAAAAGGGAACAACTTTTTCGATTGATTCGATGTTGGCCAAAGTTTGAACAAAGGCAATCGGGATCATGAAAAAGAACGTAAGACCGATGACAGCGGCAGCGATGAGCAATCTACGCATGTTGAGTTCGATGAAAGGAATGGCTAAGTTGTCCCAATAAACGTCTCGTGGTTGAGGAGCCCAAGTCGTGAGCCAATGAATGGGGTTTCTTGTTTGCTGCGTTTGAGCACAAACGGCTGCACCCCATCGCGATTTGAACGAAACAAACGCAGCCGGGACTACGGATTTCGGGTCACCGATCACCCTTTCCCGTTCTGCTACTTCCTAGTTTACCAAATCATTAGATGTTAAAAAAAAAAACTACACATTTATGCTCGACAATCAGACACTACAACAAAATTGGTTTTATAGGACGCCAAATATGTCTAAATGTGCGTCATATGTAGAAGTGTTATGATAGGTGTAAAAAAGCCGAGCAGAGTAGTAGGTTATTCGAGCTCGGCTCAAGCTCGAATATTTTTCGAGTTATCGAGCTCGATGCTCGTTTACGGACTCGTACTCCCACGATCGATTAACTCGTTTATGGCTTGATGTTGATAACTTTTTGTATTTTTATTATATTATGACACTTTGACACCTATAAAACCGATTTTGTTGCAAGAAAAACTTGATAAATCTTGACGATTCACGCTTACTTCTTTGCTCAACTTCTCGATCTCTTTGGTATAATAATCGATTGCATCGATCCTCGTTCCCCAAAGACCCCAAAAACCTGTCTATATATATATAACTAAACATGAAATTACAAACCGGAAAGTTATAAACGAACAAATAACGCAAAATGAGAGGTAACGAGACAATTTCGAGCCACGAACCTTCGTGGTTGGTCGTTTATCGTGTTTTCTCTCGTACTTATTGGTGTAGTAAATAAGCCGATTATGCAAATCCTTCTTCTGGTTCACTATTTTCGCGAGCTTATTTGCATTGTAAACCACCTACGATTCGAAAAATTAGATATTTACGTTCAATCTACAAACCTGATTCGAGATAAAAGCTTCGGAATTGCATTGAAGGACGCAAAATAAACCTGATGTAAAAGATATTGATCGGGGTGATTAACACGAAAGAAATGTTCAATGTTTTCGCTAATAGTTTCTTCAGGATCCGGGGGGACGTTTCTCACAAGAACCTACAAAGAGAACGTAATAACAAGTTAGAGTGACGTTCAAGGAAAACCCCCCAAAAAATGAAAAACTGAGGAACACCTGGTAACCATTCATTTGAACGATATACACATGTGCATACAAGTAATTGAAGCTATTTTTTGGTTTCTATGCACATGTGCAAACCGGACAAATGACTTGTATGCACATGTGTATACCGTACAGATGAATGGTTAACAGGGTGTTTCTTATTTTTTTTATTTTTTTGCGGTTTTCCATTCAACTAATAAGTTAATAGGACACTCACTACAATAAAATAGGTTTTATAAGACAACAAAAATATTTGAGTGTCCTAATAGACTACTTTATTCGGCTTATGTTTATAAGACCAAGCACTTGTGTGTCGTATTTAAGGGTGTTGTAATAAGTTTATATGACGATTTTTGGCGTCTTAAAAAGCTTTTTATGACGCTTTTGGGCGTCTTAAAGAGCTTTTTATGACGCTTTTGGAACAAAGTGTCCTATTAACCCTTTTATAGGATAATAGGACATCACACTACAATAAAATTGATTTTATAGGACGCCTGAAATGTAGAAGCGTTCTAAAAGAATACTTTATAGGACATAAGTTTATAGGATCAAACCAAAAAGTGTCTTATCTAAAAATGTTACAATAGGTTTATAGGACGCTTTTGGGCATTTTAACAAGTTTTTTAAGACGTTTTTAAAATAAAATGTCGTATTAACTATTTTATACGACATTATTTGAAAAAAAGTGTCCTATAAAAAAATGGGTTTATAGGGCACTTCTCAAAAATGTCCTATAGAATAGCTAGTAGGATACTTTATTTTAAAAGCGTCCCAAAAAACTTGTTAACACGCCTAAAAGCATCCTGTAAACATATTATAACGCTTTTAGATAGAACACTTTATAGTTTGGTCCTATAAATTTAAGTTCTATAAAGTATTTTATTAAGACGCTTAGACAATCTAGGCGTCCTATAAAGCTAATTTAAAGCTAATTTTGTTGTAGTGGATCATTTGAAGAAGTGTCTTATAAAACAAGTATCCTATAAAAAATTTGTTTATAGGATACTGCTTAAAAGTGTCCTATAAAAATGCTAAGAGGACACTTTTGAAAGACTTTTTCAAGACGCCCAAAAACGTCCTATAAACATATTACAACACTTTTAGATAAAACACACAAAAGTTTGATCCTATAAGGCAGTCTATTAGGACACAAACACTTCTGGCGTCCTATAAACTCGATTTTGCCACTTTTGGGCGTTCTAACAAGTTTTTAAGGACAATTTCGAAATAAAGTGTCATCCCAAGTATATATTTTCGCTCAGAAAACAAATATCGACACTCGAAACTTACTGTAAATTGATCCGGACGACGGTTTTCGGTGGCAAGAAAATGAAGCCTCATGTCAGTTACAGTTTTGTATTCCTTATAAAGCATATAGCATGTCCAAATAGTGAAGACATAAGCCATTGATATATGCACATATAACCTGATAATAATATCAACAATGTTTCAGATAATCAAATGCATCACAACAACAAAATCAGTATTATAGAACGCAAAAATCTATAAAACCCAACAGTTGTACGTCCTATGTAAATGTGTTACAATAAGTTGATAAGACGTTTATGGGTGTCATAACAAGTTTTTTAGAACAGTTTTGAAATAAAGCATCTTACTAGTCTTTTATGTGACATTATTTGAAATTTTGTCAGTCTTATAAAAAGATGTGTTCATACGATGCTTCTCAAAAGTGTCCTATAAAAAAACTGATAGAACGGTTTATTTCAGAAGTGTCCTAAAAAACTTGTTAGGATGTCCACATTCGTCATACCATCATATTTAACTTATGAAGCAAACTATTAGGACATTTAGGGGTCGTTTACCAAACGCTTACTCGGGTAAGTGTAACACCAAGTCACATTACCTTACCGGATGAATATGGTAAGGATCAATAATCTTACCCGGTAAGAGCGAAACAAGGACCAAGAGTCTTACCCGGTAAGTGAGGGCGACGACTCTTACCACAGTAAGCGCTTACCGGGTAAATTGTTGCATACGATGCCATGTTGGTGGACTAAAATCTTATCTAGTGAGTAAATGATAGTGTTAAATTTTACCGGTAAACGGCCCCTTAGACATATTTGGCATTCTATAAAGCCGATTTTGTTGCAGGTTTGATGGTGATTAAGCGAAACGTTTCAGACCTTTTTGATGCAGGCGGAACATTGGATATCGAAAACTTGTCCATCTCACCGAACGTTAAATCTTTCACTTTGGTGCTCATGATTTCGAAATTTCTATCGGTGTAATTGACGGGTAGCAGCACAGACAAAGCAAGTGCAGCAATAGGTATAAAGATTTTCAAGCTGCATAAAATTATCGACATTAATACGCAAAAACTAGCAATGAAACAATCCGTTAGACTATTCAGGCCCGAAAAGGGGGTCATATGACCTTAAATGAGTTTTCAAATAGAAGCATGACCTTATAAATTTATTTTTAGCTCAACGACCTTCGTCTGGCCTGCCCTTGGTTCACATAGCAGTCTGCCTCCGCCGGCAGACTGGTTCACATTGGTTTGCCTTCGGTGGCAGACTGGTTCACAAAACACTGCCTCTTCCTCTTGGGAGGCCGACTGTTTGAAAACAGTCTGCCTCTTCGGAGGCAGACTGGTGGTTCAAAACAGTTTGCCTCCGGTGGCAGACTGTTTCAAAACAGTCTACTGTTACCAAATTGTGAGATCCCACATCGGTTAGGGAGGGGAATGAAGGTTGTCTTGTAAGGGACGGGATACCTCCTCCTGTATCGGGTGCTCGCCTTCTAAAACCGTGAGTCTACGTGTGGACAAAGCAGACAATATCTGGTACGGTTGGTTAGGGAAGTTACAAGTTGGTATCAGAGCCGGGAACCGCATTGGTGTGTCAACGAGGATGTTTGTACTCCCTGGGGGATTGTGAGATCCCACATTGGTTGGGGAGAGAAATGAAGATTGCCTTATAAGGGACTGGATACCTCCTCTATGAGACGCATTTGAAAACCATGACTCTAGGTGTGGACAAAGCGGACAATATCTGGTACAGTTGGCCGGGGATGTTACAACTGAAAACTTAGTTAATACAGTAGAGGGTCATTTTGCAAAACCGGCTTCTAGAGAAGGTCGTTGAGCTAAATCCCGATCCAAATAAGTACTCACCCGAGAAGATATATCCGTATGTACACAGCAGAATCAAGGCCGGCATGTTCTATAAGCTCGGGTTCGGGCATTTTTAAGGCAGCAGGCATCCAATTCAAGAATCTTAGATACATTCTTATGTCTAGATTGATGAATTTCTTTATAAAAGGTCCCGAAGTCTTTGGATTTTCTCGTATGCCTTTAAGATACCATTTTGAGAAGTAAACTCGATCATTCATAGGTTGAAGACGTAAGATCGCAAATGCGACAAGAAATAGTACTGCAGATAGACTGTTAATGGCGGCAGACACGGTGACATCCGAAACAGTCGCCATTTTCTTTCGAGAAGATAAGAAGCTACCTACAATTCAATTGTAAAAAGTGAAGAACGGTCCAATAAGCGCACAACTTGGACGAATAACACTTAGGGCCTGTTTGTTAACAGCTGAGTGATCTTAGCTGTTTGGTTGGTTTTCAATTAAGTCATGTATGGATAAAGTTATCTGTGTGGATTAATCTGTCTGTATAGATTAGAACGGTTTTTGTTTCGGAGGGTTTTTCATAGATGGAAGAAGCATGTTTTTTAATTGAGAAGGGCAGGTTTGAAAAAGACTTGGCTTTCTGCCTAAAGCTCCCCCTAGAAGCTTACTATCACTAAGCCACTACCAAACATTCATGTGTAGCTATTGGAATAAGTTGAGAGTCCCATTAAGCTGCCAACACACAGGCACTAATGGGACTCGCAGCTTATTTGATCCGTTATACATGACTGTTTGATAGTGGCTTAATCATATAGAAAGCGGCTTATTCAGTAAGCTTTTAGGGGGAGCTTTATTCAAAAAGCCAAGTTTTTTTTTCCAAACATGTCCTCCCAATTAACATGCTCTTACCATCTATGAAAAACCACTTCCAAACAAAAACCTTCCAAATCTATACAAACAGATTAATCCACACAGACAGCTTTATCCATACATGACTTCATGGAAAACCAACCAAACAACCCCTAAGCAAAGATCATGTATTTCTTTAAACAGATTAAAAAGACCCACCAAGGGTCCGTTCGGTTTGATCGAATGTTTTTTAGGGATTTGGATTTCGTGGAAAGATTCGAAATTCGAAGGATTTGTAATCTTTGGTCTATTTGGTTTGTAGGATTTGGAATGGAATTGAATTCAGTACTTCATAGATAATTTAAGTTCGTGGGATTTCTATATCCCATGTTTGTGAAATTTTAACATATTTTAAAATATTATTACAAACAAATCCCATAAAATCCCTTGAAATACCAACTACCTCAATGGGATTTCCATTCCGAACTTTCCTTCAAACCAAACACAAGATTGTAATGAAATTCAATTCCAAATCCTACCGAATTCCGCAAACCAAAATAGACCCTAAAAAAGATCCACACTTTATTGGTTTCTTAAACATAAAAGTAAACTATCAGAGTCCCACATAGGCTAGACTTGGACAAAATCCCCTCTATATATGTCGGACCCTCCCTTCTCTCCTCAAGTGCTCTTTGGAGATCAATATGAGACTTCACATATTCTCAAATTAATCTGCT